GCAATAAACAACTTTTAAGTACACTTTAATATATAACACATTTTTATTTAGCAGCCTTAGATTTGCCAATAATTAGTGTTAAATTTTTTGAGTATTAATTAAAAGAAAAAATAAATACATAGATATTTCAAACTTTCGAATATAAATTTAAATTCATTTTTCACTAAGTGTTATTAAAAGGAAAAGGTTTCAGGTACAATAAATACTATATTTTTATCTTTTTTAATAATATGGAATATGCAAAAGGAAATATTTTAGTTAAAAATAAAATGAATTCTTTAGATAATTTTTGAGTGAACTAAAATAAAAATAAAAGTTTTCATTAAAATAAATTAAATTCATTAACTTTGCACATTTCAATCTATTATTTTTAAAAATAAAAAAAATAATAATAATAATTAATGTTTAAAATTTGAGATTTGGATAAGAATAAAATAAATAAGTAATTCAATCAGTTATTAAATATTCTTAATTTTTGTCTATATTTTGGCTTGTTGATTGATAATAGAAATTTATCAAATAATTATATTAATAGTGTAATTAAAGTCAAGAATAATTGAAAATGAGCAATAATAACAAAATAATGATGTAATTAAAACTAATGAATTAATTCAAATTTTTTTTAAGTTATTAATTCTTAATCATTAAAATGGTGGTAATATCGGTATTTGATCATTAAACGGTTATCCAAAACAACATGCCTTAATTAATAATCATTATGAGTATTAATCATTATTTAACCGGACTAGTATAACTGAATACGTATTCGATTTAATGGTTTACAATATACCCAAATAAAAGTTATAATATTTTGTGTACATTATTGTATTAAACTGTTGAAGTTAAATAAAACAGGGCCTGAATAAATCATTTTGTACTTGGTACAAGTCTGGTCATTTTCGAACTAGTTCGGTTTCAGTCAGGGAATTCTAGTTGTAAACTACTATTTTTCCTGACTAGTTTTGGATTTCACTGCAGGGAAGTTGTTAGCAGGCGCACATTGTACCGTGGCCTTGCGCGGCTGAGTTCCACGCCGTCTTGACGCCTGACAGGCGAACGTTAGTAGTAAAGGTAATTTTGTTTGCTGTGCTTATTTCAGTTTTTAACATGTTGGTTGACTATTTTCTCTTCTGAACTTAATTTTTTTTTACTTTTCGAGAGGGGTACCTATGAAGAAAAAGTTCTAAAATGTTTGGAAGAAATATCGTTGAATGAAAGCGATAGTGAGGACAATTTGGAAGAAGATTTCAGTGAATGGGCCTTATGAATATAAAAAACTAAGCAGTTGCTTTTTGTTAAGATTTCAAACCTTTTGCTTGATTATTCAAATAAATTTACGTAAAAGGTCTGAAATTTGAAGAAAAATAAATCGCTTAGTTTTTATTCATAGGGCCCAATCATTTGTAGGTACAAGTCACAATAGAAAAGATAAACAATTAATTCCTTGTCAGTGTGAAAGTAAATACGAATACCTTTAAGATAATTTATGGATTGTTTGAGTTCGTTCGCTTTAAAATATTTATTTTTTTATTTTTTAAAATGACCCCTTTCAAAAAGATGATAAAATAGGTGTTATTTTTCAATTGGGATTATTATTATTAATATTAAAAAAAACACATATGAAACGTATGCTTTGTTTCAATAATAATTTATCATCCATATAACAGGAATATGCCACAGCAAAGCGTGGCAGGGCTCAGCTAGTTTTGTATAAGAATTCTGTGTAAAGTTGGTGTGGGAAAATAACCAATGTCAATTACACTTCATTTTGAAACCTACAATAAACGTTTAAAAATTTTATTCAACATGCTCATTTTTTCTAAAATACAAAACGATGAATCCTAAGGCCCGTCCACATACAACTTTGGCGTTGCGTTGGCGCTGGCGTCGCTTTGACAGCAGCGCCAGGAACGCCCGTGCTTGCTGCAATGAGCGCTAAAGCAGCGAATACTTTGGTCACTAAATCAACATACTAGCGGCAGCTAAATCAAAATTTTATATCAATAATTGCATTTAAATATTTATTTAATATTTCTTGCCCGCATTTGATTAAAAAGGAAAATTAGATGACATAATTTTGATTATTTGGAACAGCTGACAAAAGACGTGCGCGAAAAGTTAAGAGATCTTTCTGCGTTGTTTTGGCATTGGCGTTGCCCAACTTTGGTTATGTGGAAGCTTTCATATAAATGCATGTATTCATAGTCAGCTGTCGAAGCGACGCCAGCGCCAACGCAATGCCAAAGTTGTATGTCTATAGATTGTCCATTAAAACTTAGAAAAAATTCTGATTTCCCGAATTTTTCCTTATGTGGTCCAGAATACCCATCGCTTATCTATTTATTTATGGTTTTTCAAAATAATTCAATGAATATCATCAGAGAACGAGCCAGAGAACGCAAGAAAACAATAGCGGACGTTTGGGTATCGCTTAGGTTTCGCTCATACAAATTAACGAAGCACAACAGATTCAAATCCTTTAGAATCATTTTGAAGAGTATTACCGAATCGCGATTTACATACCGTACCTAGAGCTTTTCATTACGCATTTGCAATAGCAGCCGAATGTCAGAAAATGAACAGAGAATGCTGCCTTATTACTTCACCTGTTTATTGCGCCATGTGATCGACCTATCACAAAGAAATGTTTTTACCATTACATACATTGGCGTACATTTTATGTTATTTTGTTTTGTTTTTTTTTCAAAGTATTTACAAATTGTTAGCTACTTGATAGCTTTTGAATAAATCTGGATGTTGAAGCCATTATGAAAAATGTATGTTTGTTTAAAAATTACAATAATAGTTTGGACAGACAGCCGAGTTTTGCTTCTTTGTAAAAATTAATTAAAAGACGTTATTTGATCAAATATATAAATCGATTTTGGAAGGTCGATTCATTTTATTTCGACTTGAGTCGATTCAAAAATAATTTTTTTTATTTCGTTCCGGCATCTCTAGGCTAAACTCCAGATGGTTTTTACTCCATCTTGTCACAATTTTTTGCAGTGGGCTAAAGCTTCCCGTTTTCCGTCACAATTCCAGTTATCTTACGTGTAATTTTATGTATAAATTTACTATAAACTTTTTATTTCATTATTGTTATTGAGCTTTGTACCACGAATATGTTTATTAGGAAAGTGGAAAGGGCAACAAAGTCTAAGCGGTAGAAGTTTACTATAAACAATTTTCTTATTTTTAGAGACCTATTTTGTTGGATTTTTTCGTATATTTTTTAGTGCTTTAATTACTCCTATTGTGGGTATTCTTACCGAACGAAGGAGCTTATATGTTAGTAACATTATACTTCTTTCTTAAATTTCAAAAGATGAACGTTTGAATGGACACAGCCAAGCGGCTTTGGGCGCTGTAACCGAACCGACATCAAATCCAAATTGACAAAGGGAATCAGCACAGTTGTGTATAGTGGGTAGGCCCACCATGTTGCAAAGAGCCAGTGGCCGTAAACAAGAGCAGTACAACATATATTTACACTATAATATGCTCGCCGCAAAAGTAATAACCAGGTCATCGACAATAACACCGACAACACCAGCGGCCGATAATAGTGACCTCTCCTGTGAAACCGAGGAGGATGATAGAGTAGACGCTGATTCGGCAGCGTGCGTAGAAGCGATAACAACAACTTCATTGTTTGAATCGGAAAAACGGCGGCGGGTTCAACCGCAACAAAGTCTTCAGCGATTAGCGCTTAAAAGTTGCGAAAAAAACAATTTTGAACATACGAGTATTAAAGGGAGATTGAAGTATGCGGAAGAAGAAACTGGTCAATTGCGGGAGAACGTGCTGGAGGTGGGAGACTGTGAAACCACACACAACTATTGCAACGATAACATTAGCGGAGATATGAACTCTACTAGTACAATACCATTAGTCACATCCATAAGCACAAGTGGTTCTATGCAAATAACATCCATAGACGGCTTCTTTAACCGCAAGCGTGGCAGACCACCAAAAAACCGTTTCGTTGAGATTTATAAAAACGTAAGTACAACCTAGGAGTGCTTCCAAGCTTTTCATGACATTCCAATTTCACTTGTGTAAATTTGTACACATCGTAACCTTAATTTGGAAAGGCCCTATCTAACATTTTTGAGTCTTTAAAGAGTAATTACAAAACAATATAACTTTATTTTTAATATTTTTATTGAACCACGATTGTTTATTAGGAAAAATTGAAAAAGCAACAAAGTCTAAGCGGTAGAAGTTATAGCACTATTTCGGAGATCACCACATCTCCTCATCAGACTTTTTTTTTCTAGACTTCAGCAGGGATCGAACCTGCGAATTCGATGTTCAAAGTCAGAAGCGTTAACCACTGAGCTATGTACATCCCGTAAACTCTTGTTGCTAATTCATTTTCCTTATTCAACCAACTACTATCAAGTGCAGCTGATTTGCCGCTATTTAAACTCGACAGCGTGGTTGTTGTTGTCAATTCTATCAAATAAAACACCTCTTTGAGGTGAACTTTTCGAGTGACGAAAGCTGAACGAGATAAAAAAAATTTATGATATCAATTTCGTGACGAAAATTATACGAATTTTTTAACTGCCTTGTAAACGTAGGGAAAATGTTTATTTGATATCAATTATTTTGGGGTAGCAAATTTAAATTCGGCGAAAATACAAACAACAATCTAAATGTTTTACTTTTCTCAAATTAATNCAGCGTGGTTGTTGTTGTCAATTCTATCAAATAAAACACCTCTTTGAGGTGAACTTTTCGAGTGACGAAAGCTGAACGAGATAAAAAAAATTTATGATATCAATTTCGTGACGAAAATTATACGAATTTTTTAACTGCCTTGTAAACGTAGGGAAAATGTTTATTTGATATCAATTATTTTGGGGTAGCAAATTTAAATTCGGCGAAAATACAAACAACAATCTAAATGTTTTACTTTTCTCAAATTAATTTGCTAAAAATATTATCTAAATTTAAATTATGTATTCAAATCGATGTGTCCATTGAAACATAATATTTTTCGAATACGGAATAAAGCGAAAAAGAATGATCATATCCTTTGTATTCGAAAAAATAAAAAATAAATATGAGATATGATAAAAACTTATCAACTTGGTACCAACTTTGGATACAATAAACTGTATTAGTCTGATAGGGTGTGGGGCGCACACATGTGCTTGTTTAAGAAGTTTTACTTCTATCACGTGTACGGTGTTGCACTCGTGCCAATAAACTAATGCTTTTTTCTCAAGTAGTTTTGCTCAGTGGCAATTTATACATATGTATGTAAGTAGTAACGGCACATTGGGTGAACTAAATGCATTCATACATACATATTTATGTACAACTATAGGTAAATACCAGGTAGGTTAAGTGCGGGTGATAAACCCAGGTAGCATAGTAAAATACTGTGTACCTACATACCTGCAATTAAAATGGGGAAACATGTTACAAGTTGTGGTTTCCAAGACATGTACGAAGTGATTAGCATAGCTGCATCCTTCAACTTGTCAACTCGCGCGAAATTCCCCGATTTGCATGGAATTTTGATTTAATTGACAGTCGAGGAATGGGCGATTTTTTTCGGGGAACTGGGTATGTTATTTTTATATCTTAAAGTAACCAAATTATACGGATATGTTAATTTTTAACCATTTGACCCTTTTTGGAGTGACATTTTTTCAATTCGAATGGCAATATCACCACAACAAAAGTTTTCCCAGACATAAGCTGTATGCCAGATGAAAGCTAAGATTTTGGGCTAGATTTTTGGAAACATAGAATAAAATCGACTGACCAGTTTTTGAGAAAATGCCCGAAATCTATATTTTCAGCAGCCCGATTTTCAGGTTTCGGGCTATAACGTTATGACATATTTATATTTTATAAACGCAAAAGACAGCGTTAGATAGCTTGTTTTAATACCCTTCTACTAATATCCACGTCAATGACATGGATTGAGTGGTGGAACAAAACCTTTTTAGTTTTTATTGTACTTTAATTCCTGAAAGTTTGAAAAAAATTAAATGAAGGTACGTACAGACGCCACATACATACCAAAGCATCTCGTAGTTGAGACACGAACCAAAACACATTTAGCTCTATATCTTTCCAACTAGTAGCTGGAACTCAATATATAAGGTATCGTTTGTAAGGTATTGGCTTATAGAATAACACTAAGTTTGTTGGGTGTACCCACATACCAGAGCTGTGTAAGTGTGAAATCATTTTCAATTTTAAATCAACAATTTTTTTCTATCCAGTTTTCATTACTTATTCTTCGCTTACGATTGAGGTTTAAAATTTTTGAATTTTCCATTCTCTCAATGCAGTTATGAATTCACACATCAACATATTCATAGCAAGATTGAAAAAACCAATGCCCAATCAAAAAAAGGTTTAACACTGAATGAGTATTGAAAAGGCTGCAATCTTTTATGTGTGTGCATTCTTTAACTCAGTACCAATCATTAGTTCAAAGACACCCTGGTAAATAACTTTTTGATAAAAAGGAAGATTTTTGACAATTGCTCAATTGTAAAAATTCAAACCGGCGTTACCCAATTTAAGTTTTTTGGTAGAGGGGATTTTATATCATATGTTTGGGATTATATATAAAACAGTTGTATTAACATTTACGTTTTAAATATAATTCATGTTTTATCTT